GGCTAAAGAGAGAAAATGGTTGTTGTTTAGGATAAAACTGGTTTTTCTCTAGAATGAAGAAATACAGTTAGCTTGATGCATGGGTATCTTCAAGTAGAGTCTAGCAAATGACTTTCTGTCTCCAACAGAAAAAAAAAAACATAATAATATCCTCAACCTCCTTCAGTGCAAGTACCATTTATCTCCTGCATCATACTAGAAGGCTGAGTCCTTGAGTGGAATTCCAACTGACTGTTTATTCAAAGTCTACCTTAGTAACAGCCTCAAGTAGTGATTCTTGTTCATTTCCTCTTGTGGAATGTATACTACATGGTGTCCTTGTTTTAAGGCTCTAGCATGTTCAGAATCTTCAAACTGACTTCATGACCAATATCTTGAAAACTTGAGTTTGTCTGTATCAACAATTAAAAAATTCAGGCAAACAAGGCTTAGGACACTTTTAAACTTCAGCTCAACTCTAGAAAAAAAATAACAAATCTATTAACACTTTTTCTTTTCTCCTCCTCCTCCTCCTCCTTCTCCTCCTCCTCTTCGTCTTCTAAGACTATGAAAACAATTTAAAAGGGCAAGGTCCTTTATTGCAACAACAGAGCCTAGAAAAAATGACACATTCTCCAGACAGTCGGCATGAAAGCAGTAAAGAAAGATATGTGTACTTGGGCAATCTGGAAATACTGGGAGCAAAAACAGAATGCAGAAACAGCATCTCTTGTTTAGGGAAAGATAGAGCAGGGAGATCTACGTACAGCAAAACCTGAATAAGGAGAAGTCAGGAGCAACAACAGACTTGGAAACAGATTATGCAGTACATTGTTCCTGTTATGACATAACCCAGGTGTTTAAAATACAAGTGCATATCACATGTGAATGTATGTGCATATCCCTCTATATAAACTTACAGATAACTGGGGCATACTGCCAACAAGCTATGCACTTATTAAATTATTTAGGAAATATCATTCAAGGACATGCTTCACACTTAGTACTGTGCATAGGTCCTGCAGATACGACTGAGATCTAAGAGCTTAGCATCTACAGATACAGCCAAAAAGATAATACAGTTCTTTAAGTGTTCAGATAGAGACATGGCCAAGGCTTGTTGGGAGGGTGTGGATACAGCCTCTTAGCTTGCCCAGATATAGAAAGAAGAGGAAGACTTTCCATGGTGGGGGCTTGTAAGCTGAGAGCTAGAAGTCTAGTAGGACTTAGTCTACAATGAAGACAGTGGACAGTGGGTAAGGGCATTAAACCAATGCAAGCACCTTGTGCGGTTACTGGAAAGCAAAGGGAGGGGTGTCACTCTCAGGGAGCTAGAGCAGGTTGAGCAAACTGTGTCTGCTAAGGGCCAGATAGGAAATGTTTTAGGAACACTGGAGACCTGTATGGTCTCCGTTGCAACTGCTCAAGTCTGTCATTGTAGCACACAAGCAGGCAGGCAATCAAAAGCAGGTGAGTCCAGCTGTGTTACAGTAGAATGTGTTTAGCAAACATGGCAGTGATTTGCCAGACTTTGAACCCAAGTGATTCAGTGTGGAACGCAGACTAGGAAAAGAAAAATGGCAGGTGAGGCTGGAAAAGTGGTTAAGGCAAGGGCATCAATGGCCTTGAATGTTATGCTAAGAAGTTTGGGGGTCACCTGTAAGGACGTGTCTGATCAGCCTTACTACAGTTTGAGCTTTGAGTAGGAAAGAGTGTTGGAGATCAGGAGAAAGGGAGCCTGGTTAGGGGCTGTACTTGTACACAGACTAAAGATTAAGACATGGACTCAAAAAGGCCAACATGAGGTACAACAAAGGGGACACGGTGGAGAATAAGGAGCTAATTTGTTGGTCTCGGGAAAAGTGGAAGAGTGTCATTTGACTCTACACATCACAACATTTCTAGTGGAGAAATAAAACGGCTGGAGAATATGGGGCTGAATTTTGGTAAGCATGTAGATCCAAATGTTTAATCCAGTGTTTTAACTCTGGAGCCTTAGCTCTCCAAAGTTATTTTTTTGTCTGAGTGTTGTTGTCACTTGTGTATGTGGGATATTCAGTTTCCTTCAGAAATATCACAGAGATCCCCAGGCTGCTCCAAATCTTGCCTGTGCATTAGTCTGAGGAGCCACCTCCTGATGCCTCTATGATCTCAGTATCCCTTCTGGTGGACACTGCTGCCCCTGCCATTCCTGTTAAGGACCACTTCTCTCAGTAGACACTGTCCTTCCATTAGTGTCTTTTCTGTTGCCTTTCCAAGATCCTCATTATTCCTCTGCCAAGCCAGATGCTTTACAAAAGGAAGGAAGAAATGGCTCTTTCCTGTCTGCACCCTGTGTGGCTACCTGGATACTGCGGTTACTATGGTGTTGCTATGAACTCACACAGTTATCACCTATAGACTTACTCCATAAAGCTTCACTTCACTTGCCTGTGTTAGGGCTGAAGGCTGACATTGCACTGCCTACACATACATCTTTCCATGTGAGCAAGACTCAAAACCCTCTGTACAGAAACTTCCTGACTCCGTCTTCAGGAAAAGCCTGACTCCCAGCTCCAATGCTGATGAGATTGATTTCTCTGGTTGTGGTTCACAAGCATTGGATCTTTACCCCCCTCCCTCTACTCTTCTACTTAACTGCAAGGCTCAGTTTAGGCTTCTTTTTCTCTGGGAAACTTCTACTGTCTGCCCACATGTCTCAAGCAAAGCGTAGTTTCTGAGTATTACCAAGGAAACCTGTGTGTGACTCTACTGTGTGTTTTTCACTCACTGAATCATGTTGGAACTATCATTCAGGGTATTTGCGTGTCCTAAGTGACAAGCTCCTGGGCGGCCTATGGGACTTGAAACATAATAAGCTTTCAACAAGTACTTGTGGAATTCATCCATCTAATTCTCCAAATGCTGGAGTACTTAGCACTGGGATATTTTATATTAAGCTAGAGAGGTGGCCATTCTCCTCTATGGAGGAAATGAAGGCAATTCCATGTCTACCCTAGATTAAAAAAAAAAAAATTTTTAAAAAAGACCATGAAGGTGGCTAGTTGAATTGGCTATTAATGCAAAGTTGAAAATTCCTCTCTTTCTTCTTACCATTTCATGCAAAGTACTGGAGTTTTTGATATTACAGACAATAACCTTGCCTTGGTCTAGAAAGGAGATGAAGAAATACAAGTTTTTTCTCCTTTAACCTCTCAGTATTCACTCCTATTAGGGAAAAAATTGAGGAACTCAACAAAGAAGCTGATTTTGGTGTGATTTAAAATTGGACAATTCATCTCACAATAATCTATCTTACACATTTCAAAGGAAAATTGTAAGGAAGAATACTCTCATTAATACAGGGTATCATTTTACTGTTTCCTAGTGGACTTTAGTAGAATCAAAGGAAAATTTTTGTCTATGAATTTGCACATGCAAATGGAAATGCTTTATTGACCAATGAAAGATAATTAGTCACAAAAAAAAAGGTTTTGATAGAAATGTGCTTTTCCAGGATTTTCAGTTTGGTATCATTAGCAATTGCTTATCTTCTCACTTTTTTTAGGTTAATGTCTATAGTTCTTTACCCAATATGCATGCATTATGAGTTTCTATATATCAAATAACTGGCCCTAGAAATTTTAATTTAAACATTTTTCTACTTTCTCAACAATCTTGTTTACTTAGTTTGTAACATTTTATTTAGTCCCCTTAAAAGAAAGGACCTTAATTATATTGGGGACTTATTAACAAAAATCTGTTCTAAAGCCAAGCATACAGTACATAATCACAAATACTCAGGAGACAGAGGCAAGACGGTATGCAAGTTCAGCCTGGACAAAATAATCAAGTCTGAGTTAGCCGAGGCTAAGAGACTGTGTTGCAATCCATTTCCCTCCTCTCAATAAAAATAAATAAACATAAAATAAAATTATAAAAAAAATAAATTTTAAGACATTTTCTTTAATTTGTACTCCATTCCCCTATGTAACAGCAATGGTTTTTAGTTACTTTTATAAACACACATAGCATGGGCTGCCTTCACTGTATCTATACTCTACTATAGTGTCTGAGCTGGGGAAATAGCACAGGGGTAGAGCACTTGTCTAACATTACCAGGCCCGGGGTTCAAACCTCAGCACCAAAAAAATACTTTTCTTTCAGAATATAATATGAGTATAAGGATTAATTTCTCATTAACTCAGTTGTGCTTATATGTAAGCTTCATTATATACATCATGCACTATTCACGTTAAGTTATTATATGGTTTATTGACCGATAAGCTATTACATTTATAATTACTATTTTCATAGATATATAAGGGTAAAAAAATTACTATTTTTAAGTTCACTTAATACTTTCAAATTCTATTAAAAGCTGATTTGGAGACAGCGAGGTAGCTTAGCAAGTAGAGATGCCTTTCCAAGCCCGATGGCTGAGTTCAGTCTGCAGAATCCACACAATGAAAGGAGAAAATCAGTTCCCACAAGTTGTCACCTAACTTCTGCATGTGCCCTATGACATGCACGTACATGTGCTCACACACGAATAAATGTATTCATAAGAATTTAATGTTGGTTCAGGTGCTCAAAGGACAGCCAAATCATCAGTCAGTAAGGAAGTCATGCCTACTGAGTATGTACATATGGAGGAGAAGGGACCTGAGATACAGCTATGTTCTGAAGGACCATAGATACAAACTTTTATTATTGTTACTCTAACTCTCCTTGACTGTACTCAGTTCTAGGAAGGAGGCTGGAGCTGTGGCTCAGTGATAGAGGGTTTGTCTAGCATGAACAAAGAACTTGATTACATTACCAGCACCACTGAATGAATGAATAAATTAATGAATGAATAGTAGTAAATAGCAAACTATTTTAAAAGCCCAATTTTCTGTTCTTCATAAGAGATGCATCTAAAATGTTAAGCTATAATAGGAAAAAGTAAAGAGCCAATAACTCTCCACTAAAATTTGTTGTTGTTGTTATTATTATTATTATTATTATTATTATTATTATTATTATTATATGATTCTAAGAACTCCATCCTTGCTGTCTTCTTAGGAGATCAAAGGACATGAGAAATGGTACCGCAATAACAGAGTTCATCCTCCTAGGCTTCCCAGACATCCAAGGCTTACAAGCCCTTCTCTTCATAGTGATCTTTCTCATCTACATATTAACCCTTTCAGGCAATGGACTCATTATTTTCATTGTCTGGGTTGAGCCCAAGCTTCAAACTCCAATGTACTTCTTCCTCTGCAACTTAGCCTTCCTAGAGATCTGGTATACCACCACTGTCATCCCCAAACTCCTGGAAACCTTTGTGGTACCAAAAACAGTCATCTGCACCGCCTGCTGCCTGCTGCAGGCTTTCTTCCACTTCTTCCTGGGCACCACTGAGTTCTTGATTCTAGGCACCATGTCCTTTGACCGCTACCTGGCCATCTGCAAGCCCCTCCGTTACCCCACCATTATGACCAGCAATCTCTGCATGCAGCTGGCCCTCAGCTCCTGGCTAGCGGGCTTCACCATCGTCTTCTGTCAGACAATGCTGCTTGTACAGTTGCCGTTCTGTGGCAACAATGTTATCAACCATTTCTACTGTGACGTGGGTCCCATCCTGAAAGCTGCTTGTGCGGATACCAGCATTTTGGAAATATTGGGTCTCCTGGCAACCATCCTTGTGATCCCAGGATCACTCCTCTTTACTGTCATTTCTTACATCTACATCTTATCCACCATCCTACGGATTCCTTCAGCCACTGGCCGCCAAAAGGCTTTCTCTACCTGTGCCTCTCACCTGACAGTTGTCTCTCTGCTCTACGGAGCCGTCTTGTTCATGTACCTGAGACCCACAGCACACTCCTCCTCTAAGATTAATAAGGTGGTGTCCGTGCTAAATACCATCCTTACCCCCCTTCTTAACCCCTTTATTTACACCATTAGAAACAAGGAGGTGAAAGGGGCCCTAGGAAAAGCCATGACTTGTCCAAAAGCTCATCTTGCAAAGTGAAACCTGCAATACATCAAGAGGAGCCTAATGCAGACTTTAATACAAGGACTGACAGAGAGGCAAACTTGTAGAAAAGTCTGATAAAATCTCCCCCTATGTACCAGATGCTTTAGTACAGTGTTATCCCGAGACAGAGATATGATGGTTAGGATCTCCATTAAATTATGTAAACTGAACCTATATTTGTTACATATAAATGAACTGGAATTTCTTCTTAAAGGGAACAAGTCACCTAATTTTTCATTTAAAAAAAAAAAATGTCTTCTGATTTCCTAAGATGCATGAGGCAGAACTCAGGACTTTCTTAATTACGAGCTAAAGTGAAAAGAGCAAATTCAGAAACAAATGTCAGCGAGTTTAAAGGTGTGTGAAGAATCCTGTTTCCCTCTTTTATTAATACGTTAGATTTCTGAGGCAGCCTAAGGAGACAGAAGGCAGGAAAGAGACAGGAGTCTGACCTTCAAGAGACAGGGCTGTATGTATTAGTGCACACAGTGAGAGGCCGCCTCTCTCCCAAGGAAACTGAGGGTTTTGCCAAGGGAAAAAAAGCTGGTTTCGACCCTTTATAGGTTCTGAGTAAGGGTCTTGGGAATGAGGAAATTGTTGCAGCTGTAGGGGGCTACACATCTCTCCTTCCTGAAAGTGTTGGCCCAAGGGAGAGAGGCTATCTTGGGAGACGGTCTCTACAAACATTCCTTTCTGCGCTGACTCATAAGGCTGACCAAAGTCATCTGTAATCTCATAGGGATCCTGTTTACTACTGAGGCACTCTATCAATAACTGTATCTTGTTGTCCCAAGCACAAGGCATCCCACACCTCATTTCCCCAGGCCTATTGCTTTAACATAAGAGAAACACACTGGAGTCTCGTTATCAATGCTGACGGATGGACTTTCAAAAACATCTAAAAGGAACCTGCCTTCTATTTGATCACATGTTAATAAGGCCCCTCCACCTTGACATAATACATAATATTAGGTAAGCCTAAAGGGACTCATTCCCAGGTAGTAGAGAAAATTGAGGGCATCTTGTAAAAAGTTCTGATTTCTATTTCATGGATTTTTCCAATTTCTAGAATTGAGTCTCAGTAGATCAGGCACAAACAAAAGATGTCCCAGTGATAACATACCTGAGGGCCTTATCAGAAAATTCCCCTCCTGGTTCTATGAAGTTCATGACTTTGAAGGCTCGCCTGCACATTTAGCATGTGCAGTCCCTACAGGCAAACACACACTTGGGCAACATATCTGTCACGGTGACACAGAAGAGTCAGCTTGTGGTAGTGACTATTACATATGCCCTTTTCCCAACAGTGAAAACTACCATTTAAAGCCCATTCAGACTCTTATTTTTAAAGAGATTATTATCTCAATGTTATTATCTCAATCGCTCTGCCTAATTTTCTCTAAGAGAAGCAGCCTCATTGGAAATAATAAAATCAAACAAATGGACATTTGAAAGTAATGTGTGAGCTTAATCCCATGAATTTTACCCAAGGCCATTTAGAGAATAGTTGAAATTGTCTTGAAATAAGAAAATAGAGTCGTGTTTAACAGTCTTTAAAGAATAAAGTAGCAGTGAAAAAAGGAAGAGAAGAAAAGAGCAAATGTGATAGATAGAAAAAAATCTGTGTCTGGTTCAACAGGCCAAGAGATGCCCAAGTAACTGAGAAGGAATCTGTGTGTCCCTTACACACACTCACCATGCATGTGAGTGTGGAAGACATTAGCACTTGAATCAGTGGGTCTCAGTCAATCTGTTGAGGACTGAATAGAAGAAAAAGGCAGAAATACTCTTTCTTTTGAGCCAAGACAGCCATTTCATCCTGATATAGCAGAGCACCTGATTCTTGCGCCTGCTGATGCCATGGTCCACAGCAACACCCTGCTTCACCCACCTGTTCTCAGGCTGAATTACATTTTTTTCAGTTCCCCATTTTGCAGGCAACACAGATCCTGCACCGTCTCAGCCTCCATAATTGCAAGAGCAAACTCTCATACTAAATCTCCACTAGTTGCTACCCTTCTCAGGGTGCTTAGTCTCCCTAACAATAGAAATTAAGAATGGACTAAGAAGAAAGCTCAAAAACAATTTTATTAGACTTTAAAAAGAAACCCCCTGAGCATTCAAGCTGTAAATTTCAGCACCTGTCTAGAGAAGGAAGGTGGACAAGAAGAAGAGAGGAAAAGGTCAATTGTAAGCAGCAATCACATGGAGGGGGGGAGGGGGATGTCGTGGAGGGAGGGGTACTTCAGAAAAGAATGGGAAGGCTCAAAGCAACAACAGAAAAAGCATGCTTAGGCTTTGGCCAGTGCTCTAAGAAAAAGATAAAGAAGAGAAGGGAACAATTAAACCTGAGTCAGGACTCAGAAGGGCAGACAGACCTGCAGAGCCCTCGAAGTGGCTCTGCCTGAACTGAACAGATCAGGTTTCTGAGAGGGAAAAAAAAAGGGAAAAAAAAGTACATTATCTCATTAAAGGGATGACTTCCTCCACTCTCATCTCTTTTACCATGGTATTAGGGGAACCTGCATTCTGGAGGGGTGACCTCTTAGTAAGGTGTTAGATCTCCCCCCAGGCCACCAGGCCAGAGGCAAATTCCATTCAAGGTTCTGTAACATCAACTTTCCCCTCTGCATAACCCTAACTACCTCTCCATCAAAACCGATGAACATCTCCAGTTCAAAGTACATTAAGCCGCCTACACCAATGTGTCCCACGGACTGAAATGATTTTCAAGACATGGCTGAGAAGAGAAAGCCTGCCCATGTCACCGTGGGACATACAGGGCATAACTGACAATTGAAATGTCAGTGGCACGGACAAAAGTGAACTCGGATCAGGGAAGGCAGTCGCAAAGCAAAGAGGCACCAAAATAACACACGAAGGCAAACTGAGGACACCACCATCTTCTTACTGAGCTCCCAACGACATTCCAGTTTTTAGTCTCAGGACCAACAGTATTTATTAGTCTGCCCTTTTTACACGAGGGTCAGAGTTGACAGGCAGACGTGCCGGCAGCGCAGCGACAGCTGAGTGTGCACGCAAGAGCTAGCATACGCAAGAGCCAGCATTCGGACTCGACGCTTTCCGTTTCTATTCTTCCACGCTCAGAGGAAAACAAAACTGCGTGGGAAGGAGGGGGCGGGGTCCCTCGTGGAGGTGTAGATCCCAAAACCAACGTGAAAGATGAAAACAAAACCCCGTAGGAGGTAAGCCACGAATCCCAGACCCAGGGAGTTGATTGATTTGTAGCAAAGGGAACTGGGCGTAGAGGGCAGCGGTCCAGGGAAGGCTTTTCCCACATGGGTCTCTCTGGGGCCCCCAGGCCTCAACCCACAGAAACACACCGAGCCGGCCAAACCTCCCACAGCCTAGACCGACTCCAGCACGGGCTCGGAGGCGGGGCGAGCCGGGGCGCTTCCGCTTCCGGGCGCGGAGGCCCCACGTGTTCCGACCCGCTGGGCCCCGCGCGACTCGGATCCCGAGCAGCTCTTTCGGCCGGGAGTGGGTGGGGGAGCACCGGGCAGGGGAGGAGCCGCTGGAGCCGCGGGAGACGTGAGTGTCCGGGGGACCTGGCCGGCGAACGGGCACCGCAGCGGGCGGGGAGTGCGAGCCGGGCGGGGCAGGAGCGTGGGGAGGGGCTGTAGACCCCGCCCCCCCGGTGCCCGGGGATAGCGGCTGCCTAGGGAAGGGGCGGCGGCGGGGTCCCCACGGCCTGGGCGTTGTGGTCCTGTCACCTCCCCGCGGCCGGAGCCGGAGACGGGTGGTGCTCCAGGCTTCTTCTCTGACCAGCCGCCTCTTTCCGCCCCCCCTCTCGGGCCTGCGGACACGCACTGTGCCCCTCGGATTGCATCCATGCCAACTGCTCCCGGGACCCCAGAACCCAGTGGGGAGTGGTCTAGGCCCCTTGACACCCATCTTCCCCGCTTCGCCAGTCTTTACACCCTGCCGTTCACATTGCTCAAGAAGAACCCTTTCGCTGGCTTTCCCTTCCCTCCTTCGCGGCGAACCCCGCCCCCTTCACGGGCGATCTTATCACCTGTGATCATGCCAGGCATTGGAGACCGGCTCGCTTCACCTGTCGTAGTGACAGACTCAGAACTTCCCTGTAGCTAGAGGCTACTGTCTGCTCTTGCAGCTTTCTTCTTCCTACCTCTAACAGCCAGTTCACGGGCCTGTTCTCCACCTCACCGCACCAGCTGCGGGACTTGTCTCAGTCGACTGAAAAGTTTGCTAGTTTATATTCCATGGCTGCACTGGTCCTCTCACACACACTTTATTCCCCCTGAGCCGTGGCTGTCTGTTCTCGGTGCTGAACTCCCCAAAGGGAGGCATATGGGCCCAGCTGATCTTGAACTGCCTTGGTCCTGGACAGCAGCACCACATCCAGGGTTTTGATGACAGGCTACCCTTAAGAAATACTTCTCGTTCTCTGTCCCCGCTCTGTAGGTGAGAGCCGGGGAAGCTACGCTGGAATCGGAAAGCTTCTCTCTTTTCAGCTTTTCTTCCAAGCAGCCCCATGGACCTTGATCCAGAAAACTACCTTAAAGAGGTGTCAGGGTGGCCATGGAAGGCTTGTTGGGAGAAGCACGTGACAGCTTAGTAGTTGCTTTGTACCATCTGTCTTGAGTAACTTTCTGCCATTACTGTCTCACATAGAAGGGTGGACAGAGTTGGAGGGAAGTGCGACATTGTTCTTCCCAGGACCACCAGACACTGATCTTTCCCCCTCTCATCTCCACATACATACCCTTTTGCTCCCTGTATACTTTCAGGAGACAGTCATTTCAAGGGCACTGCAAGATTTGCGTCACCATGAGGGACTCTTGTCTTTACAGAATATACAGGTGACTATGCAACTTGACAGAGACATAAAACGGTTCTAGACTTTCTGCTTTTGTTGTCTTCTTGCCTGAATGTGGACATCACTGGATAAATTTGTTCCTTTCTGGATAAAACTTCACATTTACTTCCTTTGTCCATGTAGTGGGTACCGAGTTTAGCACACATGAAATGCTTATTAAACACAGAATGCTGGGCCTTTGTGCCCAGAATC